ATTGGCCGATGGCTTTTTCTATGAAGAATTATACCGGTATAACTTGACGTTGAAAATCGCCAATAATGGAACCAGGTTTATATCGTTTTGTCGTTAACTTTCAGGTTTCCATGTACCTTATTGCTCTGTGGAAAGTTTTGAGCTCTTCGGCCAGACATTGACCCTAAATATCTTTTCGGTCGGGGGAAATACAGAAACGTAAACTCAGCTTGAAGAAGGCAGCAAAATGCAAACAAAAGACCTTCTTGACCGGGAAAAAAGGAAGAAACCCGTTTAGCTCGATTTAATCCTTTTATTGTTGGGCACTTTACACCTGACAGTAAAATAATTGGTTAAGATGGCAATCGGACTGAAAAATTTTGCAAAACTCATACGAAGGGATCTTTGCAATATCAAAACAGGCAAAGAAGACCAGATTTGGCCGTTGTATGTTGAAAATCGGCAATAATGGAACCCGCTTTATATCGGATTGCCAATAAATTGCAGGTTTCCATGTCTTGTTGCTCTGTGGAAGCTTTTGAGCTCTTCGGTCAGACTTTGACCCTAAAGCGGCCTACTCACACGGCAATTTACAAGACCCTCCAAGACGCCAAAAAATTGGGATTGCCTTTGCAGCGCTAACAGCAGATATGAATAGAAAGAAAATAAAATACTGGTCAAAACAATGGTTTTTGAAAAGAAGGGGATTTTGTCATTCCAATTTAATCGAGAAATTAGAACCCATGGACTTTAAAATTTTTAAAGGATAAATATTGACTGCGTTGAACAACTGCTTAATATGGTGCGACCATTAATAGCAAAAAAAGATACTTTAGTGAAGTCCGCTCATTAATCACTATGTAACAGGATTTTTTGCAAGAACAAAAGAAGCAAAGAAGAGCAAACCTGCGCAAACAACAGTTTACAGTTTGTAATCGTTCAGGTCTGCAAAGTTGCTGATAATTAATTTATTTGCGCTTCAAATTGGACCAATTTGCACCAACAGTTAATAGATAAATGAGGAGACCAAATGACGTAAAACATGCCGCTAACACGAAATATCACACCTAACTACTAATTACTTAAAATATTGATGACAATTTCCAGAAAACCCAAACTAACACGTGCACAAAAAGTTCTAGTGATTTGTAACTTTGTCATCAACGCGTAAATAAAATTATAAACAATTAAAAATTTTAAACCGAACCCAGCCCAGGCTTGCAGAAAGTCATTAAACGAAAATAGACATAAACTGATTTTTTTCTCATAAAATCTTTGTAAGGCACTTGGTTTTAAAATATTTAAAATTATGAAGGAAAAGCAAACGTTGAAAACATACCATTTAATTGCCGAAAAATGGCTGGTCCTTCGAGCCGGATAGAGTGGTGCCTGGCAAACTTAATCCTTTGATTAATAAGAATTAATTAAGAAACCGCGACTTCAATCAAAGTTTGAAGGTGAAAAAAACGAGCAGAAAAAAGATTTTCCAAATAAAAGCGAAAACCCGCAGCTCGGACAGACGTGTGTGTCATCCTTGAATCAGGCTCACACGCAGGTCGACCTCTTCGAAAAACTTCTGGGTGCAAAACGGAGCGCTCCGATTGGTCAGCGAAACGTACCAACGCAACTTGCTTCTATTCCTGCTGTTGCAATCTATAAAATGCAAATGCTGTTCGGCGAATGAAGCTATTTCAATTGCGACGTCTCATTTACAGGCACTAAGACGTTGGTGGCGAAGTGGTACCGCATTGGACACGCAATATTACGCGAGTTACGACTTACCGCGGGTTTGTTTACATATCGAAAGTAGTACCAAGTTCAGTAGTCTCAAACGTGATTTATTAGCGAGTACTGATTGCTTTTGTTTAGAGTATTGGTGCGTTTTCGAAAAACCAAAAAACAGCCAAAAACGGTTTTGGTTCCGATTTTGGGTTTTTGTGTTTGCCTGGTGGTTTCACACGAGAAAGTATGTTTGTTTTTTGTTGAAAATTTGTTTTTGAAAAATTAACTGAACTGTTTCACTCTTTGTGCCCTTTTTTTATTGTTCCGCAAAGTTTACATATTAGTTAACCATAATTCATGTTAAAAAAAGCTTATGACTTTAGAACTTATTTAGAATTCGACACTATTTGCTTCTTTTAAACAAGCTTCGATTTACTAAACACGCATAATTTTTATAGTCTCATTTAAATTTGTGAAAAATAGTGTATTAAATAATTACCTAAAGAGTCGAAACCTCTGCATACATAAAAAAAACTAAGGAAACAACGATTAGAAGATTCAAAACTACTGCAAGTTAAAAAAAATATTCATCAATTTCTGCGGAAGTTTTGGCTCTATCCACCAGCAAACTGACGTCGTTTATATCCAAACTAAGCAAGCAAAAACTGTTTTAGCGTTGAATGTTTAAATCTAATCGGAAAAAGTGATCACATATTTTCGAAATGAAGGACTTTCGCATGATTTGGAGAGGCATCTTTGGAGGAACATACGATACGGTTCATCAGCAGGAGCAAGTTTTAAAAGCACCGAAATTTCGGGATGAAAGAAGCAAAAAGTGCCAGGATAGAAGAAGTGAGTATTGAAATCAACCGAACTGAAACGTGATTTTCCTGTTGAGAGAAAAACGAATTTAACTTTGAAATTAGTTGCCGAATTATTATCATAATAAAGCGATTTATACTAAGCGGCAGTGATTTTTTCGCGGAATGCTCAATAAAAATCGCAAACATCCTCTATGGGAATAGTGGGAAATTGATTTAACTCGGACAGTGGAAAAGACCAACAGAAGATTATGTTGGTCAAAATTTGAAAATTTACCAAATTTATTCACCAGAAACCCGAATTACCAGTATCTAATTTCGTCAATTAAACCACTCACATTGACTGATGATTGGTAAAAATCCCAGATTTTTGTTAACTACCATTTGTGACGCATTTAAGTCATAAAACTTACCTACACTAAAGACAATAACAATAAGGAAGATGACTTTATTATGACGCGACATTGCCAATTGCTAATTTATTCATTAGGAATATTTTAAATGTGGTTTTCATGTACTCGAAAAATTCTGGTTTGTGAAATGATGGCGATTGTATACGGCAACCTTGGACATTATTTGGAATATAAACCCAATAAATATCTATGTATGTTTTCCACTCACTGGCAGTAATGGAAAAATGGTCCAAAAGCGACTGAAAAACATTGAAAACTGTAAAAGATTTGAATTAAACCTCATATAGATTCGAAGATTCGAAAATCGCTTATCACTTACAAAACAAAAATTCCTGATCCGAATCGGTCAATCTAAAAATATGAAACAGGTCACAAACAAGACCTAATTCGACCATTTGGAAGAAATTCACGTAGCCACGATTACATCCATAAAGGTATTTCATAAAAGCATGCAAAACCTTGGAAAGACGCCCATAAAAAAGTTGAATAATGAGAAAAATAAGCAACATCGGCAGCAAAATGAAAATTAACACTAAAATTGAGTCAAGATCCATGTTAATAACAGGTCTTTCTTACTGGAGAATGTGAAACCCTTTGCTCTTTCTTTTCATCTCAATTCTTTAAAAAATTGTGATTCTCTCATCGAAATGAAACAGGCAAAATTTAACTTCCGTATTTAAAATCATCACATCGGAAATCCCATAAATCAGCTCAAGATCAACTAAACCAGCCAATCTCAAATTGTTGCAATTTCGAAAATTCTATCAGATATAATCGGCGAATACGACAAGGTTAGCTAAATGGCCAATAACTATCATTATTTTGCCACACAGGAAATATGTTCAATAAAAAAGTGGAAGATCTTAATGCTAAACCTTTAAAAATTTTACAAAGGTCACATGAATAATCAGTGGACTTGACGGTCATTTGGCAATTTGGAAAATCGTTATTAATCGAACCCAATTACTGGAAAAAATTGCATATCGATATTTGGCAATGAAATGTTCAATATTAACGGGTGCTGATTGAAACTTTCGCATACCATTAGCAAGCAAATGTGAGAAAACTTCGGAATTAAAAAAATTATTTACGACTAAAACCTTCAACAAATCTAGATGGAAATATCAACCACCCAACGTCTTGTCTCAATGTCATCAGCGATCAATTAACAATAATTAGAGTCAGTACCCGAAATTGAAAAATTTAAATTGTTTACAGCGGCAAAAAGAAAGGGAGTTTAAGCCAATAATAACCGGTGTCGCCAAATAAACAAGTTAAACTTGAACAATCCCGAAATTATTTAGGCCGGCAACTTTTCAATTTCCAAAAATATATGTTTATTGTCTTGTTTTCAGTTCATTTTCTTTGTAAAATTAACGCAATTTTATTGCGAGTTATTCACTCGTATTTTATAAAAACAGCACATTTGATTAACCGGCATAAAAGGCTGAAAAACTCACCAAGTATTAGAAGTAGGCATTGAACCAATCAACTCATACCATCAACATATTGCACAAAGATATAAGGAGAATAAAACTAATTTAAAAATAAGATGAGAATAAACCCAGTCCAGAAGGATGGCGAATATAGATTTGGAAAATAGTTCCTAAGAATTTGCCATGTTTGAGCAAAAAACTCAAATTTTCCTCTTGCTTCCGAACATTCAATGGGCTCAATTTGCAAATGATTGAATGAACCCAGAAAACTTTTTTTGGGAAATTTCAAGCAAACAAATTCCAAGTTGAAACTTGCAAGTTTACGCAATATTTACCAAAGGATTTAAGCATCATTCGAGTAAAAAATTTACAGAATTTTATAAATTGAACAAATCGAGACAAACATCTTATGGAATAAAATAAACATAAAATTTCCCTTTTCAATTACGTTCTTACTTCAAATCGCGGTTGTATTCGTGCGAACAACGCAATCCATATGAAACGCATTGTATGAATCAGGCCGATATGGCTCAATTAATTTGGAAATGTTTCTCGCTTATTTGCGCTATTTTCGTTACGTTTTTATTGTTATCCAATCCGATATTTGCTAATTTCAGACTTGCTTTCAGGTGCTGTATCTTTCGCTCTTTTGGGCATTGGAGGGCTTATTTCTGCGTTAATTATACTGATTGCAGACCCATACAACATTCTTTACGAATGGGTGAGTGATTTCTAGATAATTGGTTTTAATTGGAAAAAATCTTTCTTTTTTTCTAGAAAATCCAATTTGGACCCGGTGGAGAAATATTCTCCTTATGGGAAAAACCCCCGGTCGATCTCTTCCTCAAAGTGTACCTTTGGAACGTGACCAATAGTGAAGAATTCATGAGTGGGAAGGCGAAAAAGTTGAAATTTCAAGAAGTTGGACCATACACGTACCGGTAAGAATTGAAGAATTTCAACACGCTTGAAAATTTCAAAAGTGCTATCTCAGCTATGCAAAAACGACCAAAAAACTAGATACATTTTGTTTCAAGAAGGTTTTTCGAGTAAATCGAGATCAAATTTTTATCTTGAAGTATTTGAATGGAAAACCTGTTTTACAACTTTGGCTACCGCGTGCTTAAACGATTTTTAAAATTTCACGTTACTTGGATTCAGAAAGTCTTAATCGTGGGAAATATTTGGAAAATCCAATCGAACTAAAAATCGTCTTTGAGGTAATTTGCTCGCACTAAAAACATATTAAAAAATCACTAAATTAAATCGCTTATCAGTTTCAAAACACTTAAAATGAAGGGAAAAAGTTTTACTGACCTTTAGAGTCCGGGTTTTTTTATTGCAATTAACTCAAAGGGGTTTAAAGGCAACTTCTTCATTTTAAAGATAGGCTTTGTTGCAACTACAGTTAAATTTACAATTAATTAAAATATGATTATTACACGGCAAACTGCTTAATAATTTAATATCGTTAAATGGAAATTGAAAAATTCAAAATGGCTCAAGGTGGCAAGCTCGGCGCTACATGGAACTCTCTAGAATCTGTTCAAATTATCGATGGTGATTGGCTGCGTTTGTAATTTAGAGTGTCATATTGAATGTACTTGAACATCAAGCTTTAATGCCAGTTGCTGTTGCACTAACGTTGAAATTTAAGCACAAAGTAACGATTAATAACCGTAGCTCCTCAGATCAGAATCGTACATTAATCGCTTCATTAACTGGGGATTTTTAAATTAGGAATGCAAAGTTGACCAGAAAATAACCCTATAAAGCAAAAAAAGACAAAATTGGAAAAGCGGCATGACTGAAAAGAGCTAGTAAAAACTGCCCTAACTCTCAAGGAGCGATGGTTTCTTTGAAACAATCTTAAACATCCAAAGCAAAAAATTGGCGGGTTGGCAGGTTGTTCAACTGCACAGGACCATGAAATTGGGTTCAAGTTCACTTGTATTTACAATATTTTCTTATTTATGTGCAGTTACCACATCAAAGCGCACCGGTTCTCAACCAGCTGAAATTGCAATTATTGTTCTTTCTCGAATGTTCCGAGTGGAGAAAGCGGCCGCTGTCCATTGGGTGACTATTTATGCAGAAATCTGAATTTTGATTTGTCCTGGTAGCAGGGAATTGTAGTTTTGTGGGATTTTAAGGAATTACTAGAAATAAGTTTTGAGTTTTTTCCCGCAAAACTCATAAAAGACACGGAAGAAACAGCAACGTGTCTAAATTGCAGTGAATAAATTTGTCGTTGCAAAAATTCCCGCAAACAGAGTTTGAGGAAAATATCCGTGGATGGTTATCAGAACCATCGCCCTGTATATTTATTTTCTGCCGTTGCAAAACCTATGAAGAAAAGCATAAAATATCTATGATTTTAACCACGTTTTCTATTTGCGCAAGCTCCACGCTAAAACACCCTGTATGTGTAAAAAACTGTTAAGAGTACACATGTGGTTTTATTTTTGCTTCAATATCAAATTTATTGAATTTGAATTCTAATGCATGCTCTGAAGCGAAACATTTGAAATAGATAAAATCCAGAAAACTGAAAAAAATGTTAAATACTATCATACTTGGATCTCAGTGGGGTTCTACTGAATGATGTGAAATTAATGCTTACCTTCGCCTACTTAATGCAACAAACAGCTGCTTACCTGACAGCGATAGCTCATTTATTAATATGCATTTTTTTCAGAAACGAGTAATTGAATTTTTGTGTTTTTAGAAGCTGGTTAAGATTGGCGCTCATTACGTTTCGAAATAATTTATGAGTGCGTGGGCTTCGCATACATAAAAAAACTTTTCATATTATAAATTATACCTCAACTTAGTGAGGAAATGTCGCAAAAAGTCTGTAGAATAAATGCATCCCATTCAGTCAAAAAAAGGGATTGAACTTTTTATCCAGAAATTTTAATAAATTCTCCAATTCTTCTATATCTCGAAAAGAAAACTACAACGATCAGTTTGCAGATTCTCTAACGGGTTTTGAAATGGTCGTATTTGATTTTCCCTATGAGATATACAGGATGTTTCATAAACTCGTAGAAAACCAAAAATTTGCTTTCGTTCGTAGGTTGTTTCAATTTTCGATCAATTAATTCCGCTATTATATTACATAAACCCATATGGGTTTGCGTTGAATTTTAAATCTGATGATGGCGCTGTTGTCTCGCCGAAACGCTATATGAAATAAACTGTATGAACATTTTTATTTCACATTTTGACTGAAACCCAAGATACAGAAAATATAATAACAATTACACGCAGTCAGGAAAATAAATCAAAATTAATTCCGCCTTAATTCCCCCTGAAATCAAATATGATAAAATCGAATGCTTGAGTGAAAGTTTGTTCTAAAATACTTCTAAAGCTCATTATTTCCTAAAGCCCGGTGCAGTTCTAACTCATGAATCGCTCGAATTACGCACAAAGTCAATCAGTTTCAAAAGAAAATCTGCAACGCACTTTTTCATTTAATATTCTCATATTACATACCCACAGTTTTTCAATGGGAAATTAATGCATAATTGATTTAGTTTTTTTGGAAATTTTAGCAACTCTTGCCTGTTGAGCAAGAAAATAAATGCCGAGCATACATTTTTAGTGCTCAATGGAAATCAAGCTCGAAAAGTTTTGTTCACCAACATTTTTTTAATTTTAGAGAGGTTTTAACTCATGAAAACATAACGTTCAACGACAATGGAACTCTGACATCGATACCAAGCCATCCTTTGGTTTGGGAGCCCACGCTATCCGAAGGAAGAAAAGAGAGTGATTTGTTAATCTTGCCAAATATTGCCCTACTGGTAAGTTTCATGACCGAAGTTAATTGAAAAATTTCAAATTTTAATGGCCCAAAGACTAAATTTTGAGGGAATCGTCCGTTAAACCAATGCGGTAACAAACTCGATTTCAATTATTTTTAATATCTGATGAAAGTAAAAGTGAATAACTCCTAAAAGCTCGATTCCGCGTCTACCACATATAACGTGGATATTTTCCTTTCATTTCCTCCTAAGTGAGCTAAAGATATAACGAGTAACGTACGTTGCAGTATTTTGAACTTGATCAAATGTAGGTTGATTGGAATAAATTTGATTTACTATCGTTCTTACTAGAATGTGTGCACAGTAGAGCGTGGGCAGACGAAACTATGCAATTTTTAAACAGTGTGTGTTGATGATGGAGTTCAAGCCTGCACGTATGACCAACATTTCGCAATTGAAATAATCATTGAGAATTAATAGTGTAGAAAACTCCCGAAATCTGTTTGTAACCCATGATCACGTATAATTAAACTACGTGAGTAAACTAGCCGAAATAATGGGCCTGTTGAATTAAATTCGTCTTAACTAAAGCATGTCAGACAAGATCTGTGATGTTACACTAGATAGAAACTGTATGTTACGCCACTGCTTTACAAATTGGCCCTCAATAAGACGTGCTTAATTTTAGCCTAAGTTCTAGGTAAACAAACATTTCATAGGTGCCTGAAAAACCATAGATAAGCAAGTTGCTTAAAAACCTAAAAAAAAAATCTAAATAAAATTTTTAAAATGCTTATATGCGAAAAACCAACAAGCGATTTTAAAATATTTATACTGAGAGCAGTGAATGTGGGTGTTTGAGGTTTCTGCAATATTGAGGATAAATCAATAATGAAACTTGCATAACGCAAATGAAACTCTTAAAAAAACTGCATTCAGTTTCAGATTATCGAACCGTAATTCGGAATTCTATTCCCGCAATATCTTAAGTACAGTGTGCAAGAAAATTGGCCTTAACCAAGATAATAGACTGTACGCACATGTAAATGTGCAGTTATTGGATGGTTGCAAAAGAGAATTAATTGAAAGGCTACTGCTTAAGCATTTTACCCAGGTTTTAACGCTTTAGCACTTTAACGCAAGTAGGCACAAATTTTCAGATATGCTCATCAAGTACCCTTAGGACCGGTTTCGAGTCCATTAGCCCTCATCAGATAGGATTAGCCTGAAAATAACACTCCCGCTGTCTGTACCTACTTGCTGAATACAGACACCTTTGAGGGCTCTGATGATGCTGAAAGTTTCATTATTCTCTTGGATAACTAACTGGAAATTGCGTTTTTAAGGGCAAGAGAACAAACTAACGGAAAATCGCGCAACATTTTGATGTTTTCAAGGAAAAACTAAATTCGATAATTTTTCCGGCATGGAAAAAACCCTGTGTGGAAACAGACGCTTACTTTGAATCAAATGCTTAAAATCAGTTGCAAAATTGAGCATTAACTTTATTAAATTAATATATAATTATGTATAAGTAGCTACATTTATCGGCAATTCCACAAAAGCGAATGATCGGGATTTTTTTATCGGATTCACCGTTGTTCGAATGTGTTTACCGGCATTTGACGAACAACATCAACGAGAAAAATAGTCAAGTTCAAAGTTTATTATTTGAGCACAGCGAGGAAAAGTTTATTTTTCAATTAAATTCATTAATTTAATGAAAAGTGTATGTTTTTTTAATCCATTGACGCCGGAAAGTGGATATTGATCTCAATGTAACGAAAATGTTTCGTATATTAGGAGTAATTTGTACGTACTTTCCTGACTGTGTTTCAATTCCAAAATTAAAATCAAGTCCTGGGTTCTTCAGTCATTTATTTATTGTTCATTTATCAATTTACATTACACATTAAAACTGATGATGGTGGAAAACACCGAAACGTTTTTTTAAATTGATAAATGAACAATAAATAAATGACTGAAGAACCCAGGACTTGATTTTAATTAGGAGTAATTAAACAAGCAAAAAACCGAGAATACTATTTAGCTGTTGCGAAACTGCAAAAATCAACCGTATTTCATCCCAAATTAACAGGACATTGAAAATATTATTTAAAAAACAATTTTCCAGAGCATAGCGGATGTGGTGTCCAAAAAAGGACTTTTCACAAGATTGGGCCTCAACCTCATCATCAGGCAGACGAATGCGCAACCTCTGGTGCAAATGACTGCAAAAGAGTTCATGTTCGAATACAAGAGCACCTTAATGAACTTAGGCAACACTTTCATGCCTTCTTGGATCTACTTCGACAAACTCGGCCTGATTGATCGGGTAGGTCCAAAAAACTCCTAACAAAACCAGATCGATCAACCGCCTGCGTCTGTTTCAGATGTACGAGTTTCGAGGCGACTACGAGACGGTTTTCACCGGAACCGATGGGCTTTCCAACAGCGGCCTGACCGACACCTACAATGGATCGCCGAAGATTCCTCAATGGGCCAGCCCATGTGGAAACATCAACGGTTCTTCAGATGGAACCAAATTCCCCAGCAAAATTAAGCCCAATGACACGCTGTTGTTCTTCAGAAAAAGCATGTGTAGAGCCAAACCACTGGTAAACTAGTTAAAATACATTAACTCCCAGGGTAGTTACAACTGTTCCAAAAGGTTCATGTAGCGGACACAGTAGTGGATGGATTCAGCGGCTATGTGTACCACTTTCCAAACGACACCGATGATAACGGGAGGGATTTCGAAAAAAACCGATGCTTTTGCCAGGAAAAGGACATCGAACAGTGCAAACCGCGAGGGCTTTTGGATGTGAGAAACTGCTACTATGGGTTCCCAATAGCGCTCAGCTACCCCCACTTCTACGAAGCCGATCCAGTTCTATTCGATAAGGTGGAGAGCGGCTTAAATCCTGATCCCCAAAAACACCAGACGTTTTTCATCATTGAACCGGTAAGAAGGAAATTAGCTTGGCAGGACAAAGGGGAAACAAAGGGATTTTTTTCAGAACTCCGGAACGCCCCTAAATCTTGCCGTCCGATACCAGATCAACATGGCGTTGGGAAACTTGCAGAATATTGCCAATTCCGGGCGGTTCAGCAACATGGTGCTGCCTATGCTATGGATTGAAATTGTAAGTTCATCATCATTCATAACTCCTGTTGAATAGTCCTCACTTACCCACCTCGATTTGCAGGGAATGTATGGGCTGCCCAGCAGCCTAAAAATGCGCTTCAAGTTCTACTTTGAAATCATCCCAATAGCCCAAACTTGCCTAACATACGCCCTGTTCGCTTCCTCAACTTTCGGACTGCTTTACTCAATCTACAAGTTGGCCTCCGCCAGAAAACACGACGAGAATAACCCGTGGATAGAGGACGAGTTTGTGCTGACAATCGACAAAAAACTCGCCAGTTATATCTCAGAAAGGGGCCTGATTCAAAGCAATTTAGATGATGAGTTTTACATCAATTATAAAACTCCGCTGAAACGCAATATCGACAATACAAAGGTCGAAGTACTTTGATTTAAATAGTCCCGAAAGGAAACCCTGATTGAATCATGGAAGTAATAGTTTTTCTCAAGCTAGAGCCGATGTCCATCTCAAGCAGATTTCAATTGCCTGCAACCTTGTGATCATTATTTTTAATTATTTATTTTACTATTAAATGCGTACCGAAATGGATTTCAGCAAGTACGCAAAAACACTGGATTGTGCACTTAGGGTTTAGGTGCCTACTTGGCTTAATGTGTTCACCAGAATTTTAAAATGATGGAAAAACAAGAATCAAGCCCAAACTTGCCATCACCTTTCTATAAATAACTAGCTGTAGTTTATTGCAAATAGGAAGCTCATCACTGTGCGGGTCTGTTAAGGAAGCAATAATCAGCACGTTTTAGTCGCTGAGCTTTAGAAGAAAATGCAATATTTTATTCTACGTAAGTTTCTTGAGTGTTGAGTGCCTCACAAACAAAAGCTACTACTTTAAAATGCATTGTGTGCCATTTTTATAAATCAATAAATTGTTTTCAGATGTTGTGTATTGTTCTTTAAAACGAAAATTAGCTTTTAAGGGGTTGTAATTTGAAACTCAAAAAACACATATTTCATATTAAAAGAAAAAAATATATTCCTGGCAATACCACAACGGTAATCTACATATTAAACTGCGCCAATTCCTGCTTCACTTCACTAACTCCCAAGTAGCAAAGTTTCGTTTTCTCCGCGTCTTGACTATCCACATTATGGCTGTTCTTCAAATGCTGCTTAACGTAGGATTTGTCGTTGAATTTTTTGTCGCAAATCGGACACTTGAAAGGCTTTTCTCCTGAATGCGTGTAAAGATGTCGAGTCAGCTTATTTTTAGCAAAATAGGCCTTTGGACAAAAGTGGCACACGTAATTGCGTGTCCTCACTGGGATTTTCACTTTCCCGATACCATGCAACTTGGCCATATGAACCTAAAATTGCCGATTAAATTAAGGAGAAACGGTTCAGAAGAACGAATTGCCTTCAAGACTCGTTCATCCTTGTACTCCTTATCACAGTACGAACACTGATGTTCTCTAACATCGGAATGGCTTCTGGTATGCCTTTGCAGGTCGCATTTGGTGGTGAATTTCTTCTCACACAAATGGCAGGCGAATTTTTTATCGCCCATGTGTCTTCTCATGTGGCTGTCGTAGTTGGATTTAATTGGAAATGGTTTTGTGCAAATTTCACAAATGTATTTCCATTTGGAAGAGTCGGTGTGAACAATCAGACGATGCGACCTAACACATCAGCTAGATTTTAAGAGTGTAATTTTTCATAGAAAGTTAATATCGGTTTAATATCAAGAAACATCGGGTGTGGAAGTTAAAGGAAAATGAGCAGAGATATCCATACACTGATTTTCACAGAATAATTGGTAATTTTCCTTTTACACAAGATGGTGGATGAATAAATACCTAATGTCTTTGTGAGTGTTGAAGCTTTTGCTGCAAGATTCACATTTGTATTCCCGCATATTCAGGTGCTTCTTTTCGTGATTGAGCAAATCAGTTTTAGTAATAAAGCCCTTTCCACAGTACAAACATATGCTGGATTTCACCCCATCGTGGTACTTAACATGTTGCCACAAGTTTGAAGAAGACGAGAATCTTTGAGGGCAGCTGCAATACACAGACAGGGCAAATAAGTTGACCCTAAAAAGAGTTAGGAATAGCAACCTGTCACAGGCAAAGGGCTTGATGTTCTTCGATTCCATTTGGTGATCTTTCACACAATGACTGACCAATTTCGTGCTAGCTGTAAAGCTTTTCTCGCATTTGTAACATGCAAATTTCCTGTTTCTCTTTCTTCTCAGTATTCTACTCGATTTAAAGGCCACAATATTCTTTTTGGGTTTTCGGTCCAATTCGCCTATGCAAAGTTCGAATTTATATTGCCAGTAATAAATTCAAACATGAATATTACAAGAGAAAAACCACATTGAACCTTCGGATAGTGGTTTTTCCTTCGGATAATTCCAGTCGGATACTACTTAACAGTTAAAGATGCATTTCTCACCATTTTCCTGATCATTTTCGCTAGAATGACTAGACCCGTCGTTTTCACAATCCGAATTACATTCTAGAGCCTCATTGATACCGGTTTGCGAGTCTTCTGCCTTCGTCCGTGCATCTTAAAACAGGACGGACTACACTAATAAGGGCCATTACTACCCTTCAACTATGTTTGATTCACTAAATGAGCATTGTAAGAGTAGCAGCTAGTAAAACAGTACCCTGAATTGAATTGCTTTCACACGGGGAATCTTTGATGGCAATTTCGCTGCTGGTTTGTTCTGCATGTTTTGCCTGCTCTTCCCGTCTGATACGGTCGGTCTTTATGCACTTCTCACGAAATGAGTGCACTGTATCTAGTATTTCGGTACAATCTGTACATATGTAAAAACAGGGTAGCCAGACCTAAATGGCAGGAGCAAAATGAAGCAAACGAGCCTGATTAGTTTATGGGACTGAACGGGCAATAGCAGCGATAAAAATGATGAAGATCTTAAACAATGAATACAAAAATATTAGCAATAAACAACACTTACTACTTCTGAAATGCACATTCGAAATTTCGTGAGTAATGTAACTTTGCTTCCGTCTTTTGTGGTGAGTTTATTGAAGTTGAAACCTGCGCTTAAACACACACAACACACTTTTTCGCCTACACTTTTTCCCATAGTTGAACTTTTCTTATCAATCATACGAAATAAAGGAAATTCAATTTTTCAAACAGCAGCAATAACACAAGAAAACAAACAACTGTCACAACAGAATAAGGCCCTAATGTGAGGTTACTTGAAGGTCTTCCTTTTTGATATGGTAGGTTATTGAGAAAACACATCAAAGCTTTAAGAAAAATTTTTGGTTTCTGTTCAAATGCGTGCTGTGTTGAATATTTGTTAATAGTTTTATGATTTATTGAGGATTGGTTTAATTTAAGTTTCCCTCCAATTTATGCACCTGTTTCCCTAAAAGTTCTCTACGTCAGGCAAGCAATGTCTTGTCGAATTCTCACGAGAGCAACAAAGAAGCAGATAGCGTGAAGCAAAAATCATGCGTTGTCAACAGTGTCGATTGGCCGTTTCAAAGCATTGTCAATAGTGTCATTCTTAGATTTTCAAGTAAACTGGCTTTCCAAGAGTTCGTTAAAGCAGTTTTCCAACGATAAGGGTCGGGTTTTCCCAAATATTTTCCAATAAACTCACAGAAACTATTCATCTACTTCTTCAAGAATCACTCGGGCATCAGTTTTCAGTCGATCTCTCGCCCCCCATACGTTCGAACTGTTATAAAAACCTTCAGAATAGGAGGTTATCGTTCCCATTCAATTTATCACGCTTTTAGCTGTTTCTAGTAAAATGAGTAGAATAGAGGACTTTTTCAAAATCGAAAAGATCGGTGAGGGCACCTATGGAGTCGTTTATAAAGGGAAGAACAAAAACACTGGAGAAATGGTTGCCATGAAAAGGATTCGGTAAGTTAGAGTTTCATATCACCCGAACGCTTTGCAGTGGACATTTTTTGGGGCCAAGTAAACTTAGGGCTGTTTGTTTTAAGGCTGGAAAATGAGGATGAAGGAATTCCTTCAACGGCTTTGAGAGAGATGAGCCTCTTAAAGGAGTTGCGCCATGCCAACATTGTGACTTTACTCGAAGTCATTATGGATGAGCCAAGGTAATCTTCCATGTTTATATTCATTCACATCATTCTAATCTTAACGGTTTTCAGTTTAATCTTCATTGTTTCTTTGCAATAATGTTCCATACTATCGAATAATTTATCTAATAAGCTGGTCTAAGTTCCACAAGTTGCATGTTTCAGGAAGCTCTTTAAAAAGATCTGTTTCATGGAAGTTTGAGTAGGTTTTCATCGGTATCCTGTATTCGGTTATGGGCTCAATGCTTTCTGGCTTGAAACCTTTCCCTATTCGTGGGGGCCAAATAATGAATGACCAGAGGTCGAAACGAACTGCATATTTATTGTTTTATGACACCTGAATGTTCTTGAAGATATTCTAAATTTTACCTGGTACTGCTTTACCCATTCTTCGACCAGCATGAAGACGGTTTCACTGAACCTTCATCCATAATTTCAGTTTTTTCTCGTTTCTTTCACTTCTGTTTGAGTCCGTTATTTGCTGTTTTAGTGTAATTGTCACTCCTGTGGACAGCGTATAAATTGAAAGGAATTCTGCAATTCTTATTCGTCTGGGCTCGTCATGACCATTAAAGTGCATTGTTACTTTTCAATTTTATTATTAGGTATATGATTAATTAATTTGAAACTTGAAACTGAATTAAACATTTGAAACGTTTGCGCCCCAAGCGAGTACAGGAGGACATCATTTTTCCAGATGACCTGAAAGCGCGAAAAACTAATCCGTTTAATTTTGTCCTTTTCACTGAAATTTACCCAATAAAACCTATTGAAACATGTTTTTTTCAGGCTATATCTCATTTTTGAGTTCCTGAGTATGGACCTGAAGAAATATTTGGACAATATTGAGTGTGGCAAATACATGAATCCTAAACTAGTGAAGAGTTACCTGTATCAAATCAATGAAGCCATCTTATTTTGCCATCAACGTAGAGTGATCCATCGGGATCTTAAGCCACAGAATTTGCTAATCAGTGCCAATGGAGTTATCAAGGTATATTAAATAACAGGTGTTTCTTCTTATTCTACTAACTGATGATCTAATTTCAGGTTGCCGATTTCGGTCTGGGGCGAGCATTTGGAGTGCCTGTAAGAATCTTCACACACGAGGTTGTCACTTTGTGGTATAGAGCGCCCGAAGTGCTATTAGGCGCAGCTAGATATTCCTGCCCCGTTGATATCTGGGCAATCGGGTGCATTTTCGCGGAAATGGCCACCAAAAAGCCGCTGTTTCAAGGCGATTCTGAAATTGACCAATTGTTCCGGATCTTCAGGTAAGGGTTTCTTTACACGCTCTTCACGAGAATTTCCAGATACGTAATATGGTTTTTATGCAGGGTTCTGAGAACACCAACTGAAGACATTTGGAAGGGAGTATCATCCCTGCCTGAATATCACGCAATTTTCCCCAACTGGACATCTGACACTCTGTCGAAACAATTAAAAAATCTGGACGAAGAAGGTCTAGATTTGCTTTCACAAATGCTAGTATATGATCCCAGTAAACGAATCTCCGCCAGAGGAATTGCTGCACATTCCTACTTTAAAAACGTCGATCTCACGGTTAAACCGGTGTTTGTGGAAAAGAAAAAGTGATTTATCGATTTTTTTCAGCACTGTAAGATTTACTATCCTTATTTATATCGGATATGGGGGTGGACACTTGAAATCCAAATTAAAATTGTATCTATTTGTATAACTATTAAAATGTTCGCGTTGCTGAATGATTATCATGTTTTAATGATGGTTTCAAAATTCGTTTTTTTTTTCGGAACAAGGAAATTTAGTTTAATCACAACTGTTAGTTATGGTTATTTTGACACTCAGAGTTACGGGGTTGATTTCCACATTAAGCTTCATTTCGGCCTCGATGAGTTAATATCCGTGACAACCGTGTGTTTTATCTCAGATTTTTTTATAGAACTACTCTGCAAAAGTATGCGACTCGAAATATATATTTTTGATTTAATATATTAGTGTAGATAATCAATGGTTTTTATTTGTGAAAGTGCCACTCGGTTAAAACTGATTACACGTTGAGGAACTTTGAATTTTACAGAAACAAGTTATTTTTTAATTATAGAAAAATCATTAATAGAATATACACGTCGCAGCCTCTCAGTGTAAATCGCAGTTTTATTTTACATATTTGATAACAGTAGTATTTTTAGCGTATATTGGGGTTTTATTCGATTTTTCTTAGGCGCTCAGCTTTATCTGCTTCTTTAAAGAGCTTTTCATACTAAATAACTGCGATATTCAAATTCAAATATTACAAAGTATATTGCGTATGGGCTTGAAATATGAATAAAGCTCTGAAACTATTAAAATCTAGGGTGATTTCAAAGTGAGTGTCATTTTTCCCGTTTGTGACTAGATCTCTCTCTACTCTCAAGTCTACTTTCCAAGTGAAAACAAGCAGCTGCTTGACAATTTCACAGATAATAGAAGAAACAATCTTCAACTTTTAAAAATTTTACTCTACACCGACAACTCGATTTTCTGCAACTATTCAAAATCTGCCCTGAACATCGGCTGTTTGATGCAGCTCCTTGAAAATCGCACACATTGAAAAAACTTTAATTTTCGCTGATGTTTCTGCCAATTTTTAAAATAGTTTCTCATTTAGGTTACGTTTATAGTTTAAAAAGTCTAACTTCCAAACGGGACAATGCAGCTCCTTGAAAATTTCACACATTATAGAAAATACTTCAGGCTTCAGACGGTGAAAATTTCATTCATAACCGACGCCAGTTCAAATTTTTGCAAGAGTTAAACTACCTTAAATATCAACCATTCGGCAATTTTTCCAAATCGTGACTTCCCCGTCTTCTTCGACAAACTCGTTTTATTAATTTTGCGAAACCGTGCAAACCAACAAGTCGACCCAAAATAGTAATTCTTGGAATCACCCTATATCTACCCAAAACGTTAAATTAATCAAATGCACTGAGATACGTTTGAAGATGGACGTGTACTTCTTTGAGCCCCCTCTGAAGAAAAATGAACAATATTCAACTTCTTCTTTAATTTACATAAATTGTGTCATTAAATTGGGCAATATCACGATAGTGGCTAATAAATATTCGTTCGCAATTTGCCCACATATATCAAAATAAACAGTACACCTAACAATTAACAAACAACCACTATTTTTTTCAAATATCACTCTAGGATGGTAACAACATCCCGTTTGCCTTGAATTTAAATTAAAAACACTCACTTTTACGTCGTACAGGAAAACATTGCAATTGCCGGGTCTTCGCTATCGTAAGTGATTAGAATTTCGCGAAATTTGTCCAGTAGCTGCGTTAGCTGGCTCCGTCTCAAGTTCTCCAAGTACATTATTTCCTCAATATGATGACTGCCTTCAAAGTAGCCTTTTCTGCACAGTCTGGCAAACAACTTCAAGTCCTCAGGGGTGTTTGTTGCGGGAATTTTGAAAATTTCATTTCTTTCCTCATCTGGGAAGTCCACCAGCAGCTCTTCCTGATAGTCCTGCTTGTCGTCCTCAATGGAAGTAAAACTCGCATTTTCCATGTTCAGGTGCTTCATCAGTTCCTGTGCCTCCGATATTGTCGAGGCGCCACTCTCAGACTCCGTTCTGGATGCATCGGGAAAAGAAGCTGATAAAACCGAACTTGTTCTTGGCGATGGGGTTTTTGCAATTTTCTTCTGGTCCTTTAAACTTGGAGGCCCATTGTCTGTAGGCATATATTCAATGTAGGTGTGCAGCTGCAGCAACAGATGATGTTGCAGCATCCAAATGATGTTCTGAACCAGCGAAGACTGCAGCGTGGGCTTAGAAAACGGATCGAGTTTCGAATGCAAAGATGTAGGAACTGAAAATTCATGAATTGCCTTGATAAGGTGCAACCCGGGAAATGCCTTGCTAAATTTTTCAATAAGTGGCGAAGTGTGATGTAGAGGGGCGTTGGAAGCTATTACATATCGATTAGTGGCACAAACTGGGAAAATAACTGTGGCTTTAGCCCAGTACACTAAATGGGCCGTTAATTCAAACACATGCGATAAAGTCAGGTCTGAGTCTGCTGCTAATGTTTGTAGGTTCTTCATCGGGGAGTATTGAGTTAACATTTTCACCAGAGACGGTGAGCTGTCCAATGAGGTGAAATCAATTATGTGCTCCACGGGATGAAGCAGCAATAAACTGTGATAAGGTCTTAATGCCAGCAAGCATCTGTCGATATCTTCGGGCTCGATAGTCTGTCCCCTTAAGTGCCACTGATGAGCTTTTTGAGGCAGACAAAAAGTCAAGCTTATCCATCTGTTTACTATTATATTTACCAGCCCTGTGCTCGACAAATCTTCATAGAGCTTCTTGATGTTGTTCGCTAAGGTGCACTTTTCCAAGATAATTTGAAACGCCGAACCGTTATTGGAAGTGCATTCATCATGGGCAGTCATCATGCGCTGAGTCTGTTCAGACACAAAACTGCACCTTTTCTCCTCATGTCGCAAGATAATCCCAAAGCGCTGACTGAGATCATGATAACATCTGACCACTGAATGACTAGCCAAAGCGGACAGCGCAAAAACTATATTAATCAGCATTATTCCCGAATCGTCCTTTTCCGACTGCTCGTTCTGCAGCTGCAGCAACGTGGGGTGACTGACAAATCTTACATCATTCACTTTCAACTCGAATTTTTTATCGCACAAGTCCGTCTTGACGGCGAAAAGCGATGAAAGCACTTCATCACTAAGCCCCGTTAAAACACCTTTGTTAATGTTCGAGGACGACACCGCAACACTTTGCAGGGATTCCTCTACCACTGATAAGGCATAGGGGTTCTTCCGGGCTCGGTTTGAAGTCTCTTTGTTCTCCTGAATTTGAAATGGGTACCGAAACAGGAGTCTGTCCCCTTTACTGTCGGATTTCACCAAAATTACACTTAAGGGATTCACTTCCATGGGGCGAAATTCTGGAAAATGGGGCCTTGTTGACTGGGATCGTTGATTGAGGTTATAAGTAGAGAATATAAACAATTGGTTGATATAGAGCAGCTGATGGTGGGTTATATGGCAACGTTGGGGTTTGGGCTTACACCGTTTTGGCTTAACATCAATAATAGATACAAAAATGTTTGGGTAATTATCTAGAGGTGGCCCTTTTGGCTTTCGATAATGATAGAGAATTCACCTTATTTTATTAACTACTTTTCCATTTTCATTTCCATTATCCCCCATAAGAGCTCGCTCTTTTACCGCTGGTGATTTGGAAGATGCACAAAAATCATTACTTTATGGAGAATTGTTGTTTTAGGGAAAATACTGGCTTAATAGTTAACTAATCTAAGTAATTTGAACAAAACTGAAAAATTGACCGAAACTATTGCAAATATTAATAACAAAATAGAAAAATCAGGTGGAAACAAAACGTCCATTCGGCAAATGCGCGAAATTTTCGGAAATGTGTCACCATGAAAACGGTTTGAAAGAGCTTTGTCAGTCTGTGGGAACGTGGTGCGTTTCAGTACGTGAAAAGTGATCGAAAACGATTTTTTTGCGAAAAAAACACCACTAAGAATGGTTGTTGGCACAGGGATGTTCTCTAAGGTGAGCACTTAAGAGCCTGATAATGGAAAAATTGAAAAAACCACCGATAAAACCACAAAAACTTGGACCGTGGCTATCTTCAAACGAGAAATTAACCCAAACTGCGTCTATACACTGTGTATATTGAGCAACGCGTAAAAAATCCTAAAAATAGTCAAACGTTTGATATCTTTCACAATATAATTGTGAAGTTTGGCAGTTTTGCAAATGTCAATAAAGTACAAAAGCGCACATAAATAAAGCTTGCTCTAAACGCTCGTAAACTAGCAAATACTGTGCAGGCACTGTTGGAAAACTTCACCGTTGGTCTTATAGATTGAAAATCCAAGTAAAATGTGTGACGGAGATGTTTGAGCCACTGTGTATAGCAACTCCCCCTACTTAGATGATCGACCGGCGACGCGAACGCCTCTACCGTACATTGCGCCAACTAGCGTGCCGCGGCAATCTGGGGAGTTGAGATCAACTCTGTTCCTGTCCGTGACGTTTCTGTGGTTTTCCCAAAAGTTTCGCGTTTATTTATTGAAAATTGAGTAAAAAGTGCTGATTTTCGACTAGGAAAAAGTCGCCGACATGACTCTGGTGCGGGCATTGTGCATAGTAGTCCTTGGATATTGCGTGGCGGCTCTCGACAGTCAAGAATACAACACAGGTAAGGTGAAACATTCTAACTCACCTGTGCGTTTAAAGGTGACAACAATTTGGAAGTAAATAAACGCCTTCGCTGTATTGTAAACAATTCGATTCCAGTACTGGTTAATTGTGTTTATTTTGCACAGTTTTTCTGAGAAAGTGTGTAAAAACCGGACTACCTGAGTACCGAGTTGAATGTCTGCCACAAGATTTATTTCAGGTGTAAAATGGCGAGGTCAACAATTTTCTCTCATTTCATTTGTTTGTTCAATCGGCTTTCGATCCTTCTCGTCGATATCATCAGATTTTTCACAGTGCCGGCTTGGAAATTGTTAAATGGACGACACTGTTCTGTCTTTATCGTTCATTATGGGGACAATTTCACCCCCCACACCTGAAGTTTTTGATTTATTTTCTATAAATAAATAAATCTCGACCACTCAAAACCAATTACACCCACCCATCATCAAGTGCGATTGCACGGTCTGCAGCTCACTGGAGCCGAGTTAATCAGCACTTTCTAAAGGACGCACTTTCATTTTCTGTCCTTAACTCCCTAAACAGTAGATGTCGTAAGAAAGGAAAGAGGAGTCGATCGGGGATTGAAACAATAAAACTCTCTTAAATAACAACATACCCCGAAAAATGTCTTCTTAAGGGGGCTGGAAGCCCTTGAAGGTGGTACTAGTCTGATAATGCTTTTTTTGCAGTTTGTACTAAAAGTATGAAATTGTGAATTATTTCAGAAGTCGGAATGGGAAAAATGTTGTTTTAAACTGACAATCGTCTACACCCCTTAATGATGCTTTCCATGTCCCTGTAATGGTGCATTGATCCTAACGAAATGAAACAGGAGCAGTTTTTTTCACTTAAAAATGTTTGCGATTCGGCAATGGGATTTGAAAAGTTAAGAAATGGGAACCAAAACAGTCAGAGCAATATACAGGGTGTTATTTGACTACTTAGGTAAACTCCAGGCTAAAGTAGTGAGGAGTGGTTCTAGAAGAAATTTTCTCTAAATAGGAAGTATAGTCAGAGCGAAATCCTTCTGAATATACATGGTGTTGAAATGGCAAAAAAGCGCATTTTCGTAACGCGCACTCCATAATCTTTTTGTCGACAGTGTGAAAATTTGGCAGTGGCATTTACAGAAGAAAATGCATAGTTTTGGTCTAAATAGACCAAAGTTATTAAGCCCAGCCCGTCAAATGTTTGTGGCAAAAAATGTGCGCCAGTGATTTTTTCAATTTTCTCGAATGCAGGCTCTTCCAATACAACTTTTTTGTCCCTTGACTTTCTTCCGTATCTTGCTTAGTTTTTGAGAGAAAAAAAACCACCTTGTTCCATTCCTCAGACTCAGACAATTTTGATTTTCCGAAGTTTGACTACGTAGGTACTCAAAGAACTCTGTATACCCCTTGCATGTTTCGCCAATAATCGAAATCCTCAGTTTGTTACCACAGAAAAGATCTAATTTCCACTTGTTGCAGAATACAAAATTTCGCAATTTTAACCCAAACGGTTCAGAAATCAGTGCCAAAAACATCTTCAGAGTTCGAGACTCTTGTCAGTGTTGCGTTTTTTATCCTCTAGACTCTAGGATTTAACATTTATTGATTTTTTTCCAGGCGCTCTGTATAAAGCGCGTTTATAAGCAGTCGATAACTCTTATGCGAAAACGCTGGGAATTATTGATTTTTTCTATGGAATACCCTGTATATCATGCCCTGTTTAGATTTTACAGTAAACGGTAAGTAATTTTGTAAATTGTTAGTTTTTTCTCAGCGTCTCTTGGATTGATTTCAGCAAGCGGGTCAGGCAATTTTCAATCGAATCTTAACCATAAGGTTTTTTCATTGACAGAGTGCTTTTTTCGTTGATTTTCTGTACGATCGACGCGCAATATGACTGGGAGCTTCTGGATGCAGCTAATTTATCATAATCGAAGGCAAGAAAGAAGCATGTAGTCACAAAGTAAATTTACTTGACGACGCATCCAAGACTCATTCAGTAAACGCTCGGACGGAAAAAGTAGACTAATTTGGCTGTAAAACGATTCCTCCCACAATCCAGACTTGCCACTTTGTGATTTTCGTCTTATTGGACAGCTGAAAGAAGCGTTTTTGATCCGCTACCTGATCGGTCGAAGAGTTTCTATCCAACTCGAATTTCACTGGAAAAGTGTATTTATAAAGCTGGCGATTATGTAAAAAAATACTGTGTTTTTGTAAATATTTGTTAAATAAAGCAACAATAAAGAAACAGTCCAGTTTGATTTTATACACCCTCCACTAAATGTTCGATGGAGTTAAATCAGGTGATCTGGGCAGTTATCAGCATTTGAAGAATTCGTTCAATTGAATTACATTGCGTGCGTTTTTATAGTAAATTTTATTGCTTTGGCAATTTTATTGCTTGTGCTGAATTCAAATAGAAAAGTGAAAAATATATATATTGAACACATACAAAATGAACAATTAAAGGAAGGAAATGATCACAGTATATTGAGAGTTTCCCGAAAAAGATGTACTTAGGCAACATTTTAATAGAAACCGTGTTTTATCGATTATAAAAATTAAGAAAAAACTATTTTTTAGTCACGCGAAATAGGTCATGGTTTAATGCAAAAAACATTGCTGCTTCTGGCAATTAAAATAATTTTGATAAAAACAATTAAAGCTATTTATTTATCAGTTTATTATATTTCAATCCACTGTGCACTACATTATCATTAATCCCCTAGGGATTTATGCCTGCTTTTTCATGTTCATAATAGCTGCATTATTTATTGCGAAGTTAATGTCTAGGTGTCATATAACATAAGGCCAGATCTCTTTCATACGCATTAATTGTAGGCATTTGGAATTGTTCAGTGAGTTCATAGAGTGATTCACGATTTAGACAATGGTTTTTTCGGGGATTTTGTTTAAATTACCGCTTAGTTTTAAAGTAAATTTGCAGATAAATTCGCATTTCCATTAACAGCTATTTAAACAGTGGACTTTCGGTTACTATTAATATTTCCACACACAGATGGTAATTTCAATTTGCATAATGAGGCTTTCACCCGGACTACCCAGAGATTTACTGTTACTTATTGTCATTCAAGTGCAATCTTCAGTCATTTCAGTATTGAAGACTTTGGCTGCGCTTTATTATGCATGCAAGCAGTTAGGAAACAGACATGTGATTTTTCTGGGCATAAAATCGATTGAGGCTGAATAACATCGAATGGAAACCCGAATGGTGCGGAGAAAATGAATATGTTCATAAATTTGAAAATTTAATTAATGTTTCAATCAGTGGACATAACTAGAGTGTGCACAAAGGATTCTTGAACTAGTAACAATGTTAAATCACGCAATAATTTTTTGTTTTTGAATCATCAACATTTTATAATTTTTTTCATGAAACATCTAATTTTGAAGAATGTTAATAATCGGAGTTTTTTTATTATTTTCAATCAGTATAGTAGTGAAAGTTTTCTGAAATGTTTTAAGTTTCAATAGTGAAAATTAGACTGAGGCAGCATTAGATTGAAAACAGCTTTTTCACGAATTACTTACTTAATTATAAATGCATTTCTGAAGTTTTTCTCCTGTTGTCACGTTGGGCCGTATATGTTAAAGACCAATACTCCTCACCATTTAAGCGTGAACTAAGTAAGTAATATTTATAATCCTATTTCCCAGCATAGAAAAGTGCATACTAATAAATGAAATTGTAAACAGGCCACTACATAGTTGTGTAGTTTTCACGTTTTTTTTGCGTCCATGCCAACCTGTTTAGGAATTAATACCTTGTGTGACTAGGACTAATGATTGGTTCATTGTATGTATAATTAAACAGGTAAATACAAGATAATAATTTAATCAATCATGCGTCTGTGAAGTGTCGATCAGTTTTCTAGCCGATCGAAGTGTTCCAATAACGGACAATCTGATGCACGCGTTTGTTTAAACTTTTGGCATCGAATTGAAACGTTCAATTTCGTATCGTGTAATCCGCACCTCAAGTATCAAAAGATAGGAAACGTGAATTGCTGCGCGATAAAGGAATTAAATAAAAAAATCAAATTTCCTTCAGAATTATCAGACTCATTAAATTTAACAAGCAGGTTAACAGGTTTAAAACGTTATGCCATCGACCTCTTTGCATTATCCGCTGTCAAGCCAAGTAGTTAGAAATACCTAGAAAGGTTCCGATGCTATCTATTTATCTTTTGTCGTTTAAAGATCTACGTCAAGCCGTTATTACAGTTCATTATATGGGTAAATAATAGGGTGTTTTCGAAATGCCGCTCTGCCAGTATTTTTAGAGTTTACCGAGTTGATATTTATGTTCGCCTCGAAGGTGGGAAAGTCGTTAAACAGTTACTGGTCAAATGGGGGCCTTTTTTTAAAAAGCGCTCTGTTTCAAATATAAGTTGTCTCGATTTATCGAAAAAATGTTAATCGTTGCGTGTAAGACGAGTAGATGCGGTTTTTTATTGAGTTTGGTTGATGATCTTGTACTTCTTTATATTTTTTAAAAAGCGCTTATATGCCCGATATTTAGGGGGCTTAAAAAATAATAGATAGTTTTTTGTATGATTTTCTATGTTCGAATCTCCATATTCTTCTTCGATTGAGGTCTTTAAATTTTTGCCGTATAATTCTTCTAGTTCGCTTTTATCTCGCACTTTCGAGCATGTAGAATAAAGAAGAATATGTTACTTATATAAAGAAAAAGGATAATAAATCGCAGTCGATTTAATTGGCCCGTGGAACACCTCCATTGTGACCTTTGGAGGACAATTGCGCAACAAGGCAAGATTTTTCTTCGAGTGAATAAAAGTTGCGTTAACTTGCACTGTTTGACCTTTACATTTCATTTATTACTCTGTTTGCTGGCCTATTTCTAATTAATCTACTTGGAATCTACTTCGTAAAGGAAAATTGCAATTTTTTCCTGGACTTAAATTATGTAGGGTGATCTATTAGGGCTTATTAAAGCTGGTTACTCCAGTTGAAAGCATTC